ATTTACAGCTTATATCTTATCTGAATGGCTTATTATACAATATATATTTTATTTAAATATTTTATTCTTTACTAACAACGATACATAATATTAATACATTATGATAGGAGCAAAAGTATCACTACCTTATCAAATCACAACAACTGATAGACGTACCGTGGGTATTCATCTCCTCGTGCTCTTTCTTCCCCTGCTTCGCGAGTTCGTCCCAGTACTTAGGTTCCTCTACAAACAGCGAACGCCATTGTTGTGAGATCGTTTTGGAGAGGTCAGCTTGACGCTGATGTCGTGCTACCAGGTCGCCTTCTGCAGGTAGTGCGGCCTCCGCCTCGTTCTTTTTCAAACAGCATTCACGACGGAAGACGATGAATGCGTTCTTGCGTCGTTTGATGTGGTCTTCGTCACCAAGACTTGGTCGTCGCTCGGTCCCTGCAAGTTGAATTGCGTGTGCCTGTCGGTTGTAAGGTTGTACGTGTTGTGCGGGTTGAGGTTGCGCTTGTGAGAGAAGTTGTGAGACTGTCTGGCTAAGGGTGTGAGTGTGAGTGTTGGCATTGGCGTGAGTGGCTAACTAGAGCGAGGAGATGGATGTATCGCGATGGCGTGTAGGGAGTGTGAGCAGTACACCGGGGTCGTGATCTGGAACGTTGAACGAGCTGATTTGGGCTGCAGGCGAAGCCGTGTCTGTACGTGCGCGTTGCATGCTCTAACTACGTTTCGCAATCGGAGGTGCAGTGAACCGAGTGGTCGTTGTGGATGACTGTAAGGGTGTATCTCTGGGACGTTCCAGCTCAAGGGGAGAATGCGAAATGAAAAACGTGGACAGACTTAGTTAGGCCGAGGTGAGTGGTGGGCCACTGCCCGCGCTCGATATGGCACTATCCACAGCACTGAGGAATGTAAATGCACACTAAATAGACCTGTCTAGGGTTACGTCAAACACGGAATGGGTGGGGGAGGAGAGCACATACAGTGTAAGAGAGAAGGTGGCACTATAGGAGAGGTTGTACATGGACATTGTTGCGAGCTTTTGCTTGTCAATTGTTGCCTGCACTGCAGAGCGGGAAGAAGTACGCGAATGCATAGAATTATTGAAGAAGTTGATCAACAATGCGGATGCGCGAAAGGAAGGCGAACGAGAAGAAAAGGAGGACAACGAAGGAGAGGCAACACAGGGCGTGGAGGAGCGGAAGGAAGACAAAAATGTTGAGAGGAGAGGGGTGAGCAACTACTGTGCAGGTTATTATGAAACAGACTGGCTGCTTACGCTTTATGTTGAAGGACGGTGTAGTCAGCTGGGGTGTCGTTGCAGGATCTGAGGCTCAGCGCAGGCATCGCAACAGCAGATTGGAGAGACGCATACAGTAATGTTTATTGTCTAGGTTGTTGCAGGCGGAGTGTGAGCTGGTAGGACGCTTGCAAGCAGAGGACTGGACTAGAGAGACCAGAAGCGACAACATAGTGATGGGGCAGAAGGTTACTCAATGGTGGTCGGAGGCATAGAGAATGACGAGCGAGGACGAGTGCCACACCAAGATTTAAGTACTAAGTCCCATGTGATATTCGATGATTACATAATCTAAGCGACTTGCTTAATATTTATTATACTATTGTAATGTGCACATTACATTCTAGTACTATATATTTATTAAGTTTATAACCTCTCAAACAGAGTTTCTAGATATTATAAACATTAATAGAACTTTTATACAAATTATAAGTATAGAAAAACCTCTTTATTATATTGTATATTAGATACAAACCTTTTTCTTCAAGTATAATACTATTACAGTGCTTTTATTCTCTATATATAACTAATAAAATGTATATACCCTTTATATAAGACTATTATAATACATTTACCATATTATATTAATGAATAATACTCATAGAGCTTTTATAAGAGTATATAAGACTTGCTTTTACTTTATAATAGAGTTAAATACTTATAATTACAATAAAACTGATAAGTAATGTGTATTTTATTATATAAGATCTATAAAGCTATATA